CAGTAGCAGTAGCAGTAGCAGCAGCAGCAGCAGCAGCAGTAGCAGTAGCAGCAGTAGCAGTAGCAGTAGCAGTAGCAGTAGCAGTAGCAGTAGCAGTAGCAGTAGCAGTAGCAGTAGCAGTAGCAGTAGCAGTAGCAGTACCAGTAGCAGTAGCAGTAGCAGTAGCAGTAGTAGTAGTAGTAGTAGTAGTAGTAGTAGTAGTAGTAGTAGTAGTAGTAGTAGTAGTAGTAGTAGTAGTAGTAGTAGTAGTAGTACGCCCCAACCGGGTGGTTTGCCCACACACAGTGGTCAAGCATGGGTTTGGACAAGCATGCGTGAATCAGCTCTTGCCGCAGCATGTCAGCATGAACCATGTGGCACCCAACAGCCCAAAGCCTAAACCTTAAACTCGAGAAGTTCTTGGTCCTATTTAATAGCTCAGGATTTCGCAGACGACTCGTCTTGTGGCCACTACACTACTGACGCAGTCCCGTGCTTGTTGGGTCGCGCGGCCACAGGTCCGCGGTCTGCAGAGACAGACACGGCCCTGGCATACGGGAAGCGGGGCGCAAACGCTGGGCAGCTCGCTGAGGAGGCTTTCTTTCTGCCTCCGAAGCAGGTGGCCAGCGTCTGCGCCCCGCTTCCCGTATGCCAGGGCCGTGTCCGCCTCTGCAGACCGCGGACCTGTGGCCGCGCGACCCAACAAGCACGGGACTGCGTCAGTAGTGCAGTGGCCACAAGACGAGTCGTCTGCGAAATCCTGAGCTATGAAATAGGACCAAGAACTTCTGGAGTTTAAGGTTTAGGCTTTGGCTGTTCGTTGCCCACAAGCAGAAGACGCGGGCAAACCGTAAACTGTCTTACGCCTCAACCCTGAACCCACGCCCGAAAGCAGTGTTATTTCCTTGAAGCCCAGGACGACAAAACACCGAAGCCCTCGTGCTGGACTCGTGCCTGAAACACTCCAAAGCCCAAACCGTAAGACGCGCGCGCGGGCAAACCATAGGGTTCTGCGAAGTCCGGAACGCAGGGAAACCCGCAGAGGGTCGTCGTTTATGAAGAAAAAAAACGAAAAAAAGAACACTGTTGAAAGGCCGGCAAAGGCCAGAAACGCTGCGCCTGCGTATGTTTTATGTACCTTCCAAAAACAAGCGCGGGCAAACCATAGGGTTGCACCGTAGTAGTAGTAGTAGTAGTAGTAGTAGTAGTAGTAGTAGTAGTAGTAGTAGTAGTAGTAGTAGTAGTAGTAGTAGTAGTAGTAGTAGTAGTAGTAGTAGGTAGTAGTTAGTAGTAGTAGTTAGTAGTAGTAGTAGTCGTTAGTAGTAGTAGTAGTAGTAGTAGTAGTAGTAGTAGTAGTAGTAGTAGTAGTAGTAGTAGTAGTAGTAGTAGTAGTAGTAGTAGTAGTAGTAGTAGTAGTAGTACGTGGTGGTGGTGGTGGTGGTGGTGGTGGTGGTGGTAGTAGTAGTAGTAGTAGTAATTCGTAGTAGTAGGACGAGTCGGAGTAGGAGTAGGAGGAGTTTTTGTTGTTGTCGCCGTCGCCGTCGCCGTCACCGTCGTCGTCGTCCTCGTCCTCCGCCCCTCTCCCGAAGCAATGCAGAGGACGGCACCGATAGCTTGCACCGCCATCTTGTGCATGACTTTCTCGTGATGCGCACTCCTTGGTATCACCAATCTAAAGCCCCAGAAGGACCCTAGCATTAACCCCAAACCCAAAGCCTTACATGGTTGATTCAAACGGTACATATCGTCGTGGTTCCAAGTAGGTTGAGGGGTCAGCCATGCTTCAACGGAGCTTGTGGCTTTGGGTGTTTGGGCTTTCAGGTCTCAACCCCCTAAGCCCTGAGCCCTGAGCGCTGAGCCCTAAGCCCTGTGAGCTTGTTTGGTAAAGAAACCTAGGTACCCCAATCAAAAAGACAAAGAGGAGCCGAAAAATGGAACCTGCAGTATACTCAGCAAATTGCTCCCTTCTTTGCGTAAACGAGGTATGGGAGCCTAACCCTTTTCAACGGGAACCCTAAACTAACTCGAAACACGTGTCTAGGGCATCTATACCTGGAGGGGAAGTCCTCAAATGCCTGAACCTGAAACCCAAACCCCCTTCAAACTGACATCACTCTGAACCCCACATCCTCAACCTAAAAGAGCTGTAGTCAATCGAAAAACTTGGAAGCCTCCCTAGTGGGTTTAGGTACAGATATCTACTATTTGCTTAAGAATCCCCCCAAAATGCCAAAAACATATTCTTCCTTATAAGGGCAATATAGGGGCGTTTATTGATTACTTTTTAGTCTTAAGCAAATAGCAGCTATAACTGGGCCAAAAAGTGCTATGATTCTGCAGATACACCGTAATCCCTAATCTACTATCTGCTTAAGAACCACCAAAAAATAGAAGACATTAACCCCGATGCTAACCTTTTAAGGAAGACATTTTTAATGTTCTGGCAAACCCTCAACCCTGAACCTTGGACCCTCAGCCCTAAACCCCAAGTCCCTAAACTTTAAGCTTTAGGTCCTGCAATGTCCTAAAGCCCTAAACCCTGAAACCCTAAGCTCTAAACGCTTAAACCCTAAACCCTAAACCCTAAGCCCTTAACCCTAAACCCTGAACCCTGTAACCCTAAACCCTAAACCATCTCAAGCCGGCGAAGCCCAAAGCCCGAAACGCCCCAAAGACCAGTCTACTAATTGCTGAAGCGCCCTCAAAAAATGAAAAATACTCTAAACCCTAAACCCTAATCCCTAATTAAACCCTAAACCCTAAACCCTAAACCCTTATTAAGGGGTTCTTAAGCAAATAGTAGCTTTGCGAGGCGGGGAGCAGGCCGTCGGCCAGCAAACGCCTGTTAGGTGGAGTCAGAGTTCGGGTTACAGGGTACAGGGTTTAGGGTTTAGGGTTCAGGGTTCAGGGTTTAGGGTTTAGGGTTTAGGGTTTAGGGTTTCGGGTTTCGGGTTTCGGGTTTCGGGTTTAGGGTTGCAACCTTATACTTTGCAAAAGGCTGGATATACTCCATGACTATGGTGGTGTGTAAAGGTTACTCTATGCAAGGCTTTCTGGAGGCTCCAGGGCTTTAGGGTGTAGAGTTGAGGGTTTAGGGTTTGGGGCTTGGGTGGCTTTAAAGGCTTAGGCATTGGCCACATAGTCTTTAGGGCATCATAGGGTGCGTTGGGGATTTGAGGTTTTTCGGGACCCAATAGGGTTTCGACAAAAAGTAGCTACACGTCCCACTTCCAGAGGCCTTATAAACCGTAACCTGGAATGCCGAAGCTCCCAAACCTCTAAACCCAGAAACCCTCCCGCTGCTGCCAGCCCAACCGGGCCAGGCCGAAACACGACTACTGTACGGGCCCTACACCCTAAGCCTAAACCCTGAACCCTAAAGAAGGGTTTAGGGTTTAGGGTTTCGAGTTTAGGGTTGAGGGTTGAGGGTTTAGGGTTTAGGGTTTAGGTTTACCCTACATCCACCTGATTCAGCCTACCTCTCCCAGCGTGCCTCGTTTGGTTTTGCATCCTGCTTGGAGGTTCGTGGGTAGTTACTACTGGGGTTATACCGTAGCACCCCGTGCTTCTGTCGTTGCTTAGAAGTACAGAGCCCTGAACCTCCAAGTTGGACCTGTACTGTGACATGCTTGAACGACCCTCGGCCCGAAACAAATCCTTAACATACTCAAACCTAACCCCAAACCCTAAACCCTAAACCCTAAACCCTAAACCCTAAACCCTAAACCCTAAAGGAAGAAGCCCTGCCAAAACCCGAACTACGCCGAACCACGCCCGGAACAGCACTTGGGTCGCCTCAGAAAGGGGATCTTCCCAAGAGGCGTCCGGTAGCGTGCAAACCTCAGCTTCGGCCCCTCACCCTAAACCCTAAACCCTAAACCCTAAACCCTAAACCCTAAACCCTAAACCCTACACCCTAAATCAGGCTTTGGGGGCGGAGAGCTCCAAGGCTACAGGCTGGCTTATGCAAGAGTCAGGGCTTTAGGGGGTTTTGAGCTGTTTAGGGTTTAGGGTTTAAGGTTTAGGGTTTAGGGTTCAGGGTTTAGGGTTTTAAATAGGAGTGGATGAGTTCAGGGTTTAGGGGTTGTGGGGGTGTATTCTGCAGCCAGAACGGCAATAGGCTTGAGTGAGCGGCTTCGGTTTTGCTGGAACTTCAAGTGTCGCAGCACATATGTAGGCCCCTAAACCCTAGACCATAAAAACTCCCAAACCCCCAAACCCCCTTAACCACCTAGTTAAAGCAAAGCGGCTCCAGTCCGGAGCGTGGGTCTGTGTTTAGGGTTTAGGGTTTAGAGCTTAGGGTTTAGGGTTTAGGGTTTAGGGTTTAGGGTTTAGGGCATAGGGTTTAGGGTTTAGGGGAACTGCTGCCAAGTTGCTGGAGTTCTGCGTTCAGCGCTGCAGGCAGCATTGCCTCAGGGATTAGGACTGCGGTTCAAGGACCCTGCGTGGCTTCGGTTTCTCAGGGTTTAGGGTTTAGGGTTTAGGGTTTAGGGTTTAGGGTTTAGGGTTTAGGGTTTCGGGTCTAGGGCTCAGGGTTTAGTGACGCGAATGGCGTCTCTCCGTTCCTGGAGTTTCCGGAATCACGCTTCAGGTGAACCCGAAACTTCAGAAAGGGTGTCAGCGTCCTTGAACCTTGCCCCTAAACCCGAAACCCTAAACCCCAAACCCTAAACCCTAAACCCTAAACCCGAGTTGAACCCTACCTAAAACCGTCGGTTGGCTTTGACATCGTGCATAAGAGCAAATCCACACCAAGGGGACCCGATGTCAGTGGTTGAAATCGAAATTGCAGCGCTTTTCTCCTATTTGCTTAAAAACCCCCCCCCCCCCCGGAACAAAAAAAGGTATTCTTCCGCATAAGAGTTAATATGCGGGTCATTTTAAGGTTTAGGGTTTAGGGCGAAGGGCGTTGCTCGTAACATGCCTGCTTTAGCCCCTTAAGCCCTAGACGTTCATGCCTGAAACCCTCGAACCAGTCCCTCAAACACCGAAAGCCTAAAGCCCTGAAAGCCTTCCAGGGTTTAGGGGGCCGGGGGTTTAGGGTTAGGGTTTCTCGTCGAGCACACAGCTCGATGGCCCGGCACCAATACATCGGGCGTGTTGGAGGAACTGGCTGTTGAAGCGCGCTCGTGATACCTGACAGCTTTACTCAGGGGACTCCCCTCTGCAAAGGAATCTTAATCACGCTATACCCCGCTTCACCCCAAAGGGGATCCTGAATTCTCGGCAACCCTAAGCCCGGCAACGCCTACTTCAAAACAGGCTCCGATTCCTGTAGATCCCAAAGCTAGAAAGCTTAAGAGGGACTCTACTATATTGGGCCTTCGGGTTTAGGGAGTTCGTCCTGTTTATAGGAAACTCTCACGTAATCTTGCTTGAAACATACTATCTGCTCACGTCTCTAGCACACCTCCGTGTACGGGGTTTACCACATATTTGGGGCCCCCTTGTCCTTTTGAGAAAGTTTCTCCGAGAATGGTGCTCTTGAAAGAAGAAGCTCCCATGCAGCGAGCTGAGATGATTGGCCCCCAAACCCTAAGCCACCCCCCAAAGGCAAAAACTGAGAAGGCCAAGGACCAGGAAGAACCCCTTCATCACCCACAAATAGCAGTGGAAGCACCGAGAATCGGAACGGAGGACAGGCCAGCGAAAGACGCGATGGGCTCAAAAGCCGAAAGAGAAATGAAGGAAGGAGAAGACTGGAATGCAGTGCCTAGAGGGCCGAACATTCCCTAAACTACCGATTTCTCCGCAAGCCATAGCAAGGACAAATACCATTACATATATATATATATAGAGAGAGAGAGATCATACACTCTTCTATATATATATATATATACAGAATACTTGACGTGTGTTCCTTGGTTCAGAGGTTTGGATGCTCTGTAACAATGTGCCACCCCCTGCCCGGCCTGAATTCCAGGAATCGGAGAATGCGCTGGCTGAGGGAGGCGGGGATATTGTTCCTCGGCTCGGCTTAGGGTTTGGGGTTTGGCGTTTGGGGTTTAGGGCTTAGAGTCTAGGGTTTAGGGTCTGGGGTTTAGGGTTTAGGGTTTGGGGTTTAGGGTTTAGGGTTTAGGGTATGGGGTATGGGGTATGGGGTTTAGGTTTAGGGCATGGGGTTTAGGGTTTGGGTTTGGGGTTTTGAGGTTCAGCAGCTCCAATCCGGTACGTCTCTAGTCGAGCTGGTGTCGACGCAGATAAAACCCCGCTCGCTCGGAGAATCCATAGCATGAAGAAAAAAGCAAAAGGCTTATTATATACACTTCAGACTCACTCTTTACGCGTTCACCCATTCCCAATCTGTTCGCTTCTAGTATGAACAGTTTTATGCTACTTCTACATTTAACAATAAGCAAAAAGTGAAAACCTTGGAAGGACGACACCTTCTTCGGTACTCCACTTGAGTCATCAGCAACTTGAAGGCTGGGCTTCGGGCTTCGATCAATACTTTGCCTCGGCAAATCCATCACAAAAAATCCTCCCCACGAGCTCCAAACCCTAAATCCTGAAAGAATCCAAAAAACCCTGGACCCTACATAAACCCCAGACCCCAAACCCCAAAACCGAAACCCTGCACCCCAAACCCTAAACCCTAAACCCTAAACCTGAACCCTAAACCCTAAACCCTAAGCTCTGGAGCTAGTGAGTCTAGAGCGCACCGACAGTTGCAACAAGTGGAAAGGCAAGGCTCTGTCGCAGGAACCGCCGCAAGATGCCGAACTGCGCCATCTCCTGCCACGGGTTTAGGGTTTAGGGTTTAGGGTTTAGGGTTTAGGGTTTCGGGTTTAGGGTTTAGGGCTTAGGGTTTAGGGTTTAGGGTCCATAGGTTTAGGGTTTGGGGCTATCATGATCACAAAAAGTTACTTCTCTAACTAACAATATTGACACTGCTAAAATACTGAAAAAAAACAAGACTCGCGAAGATCAAAAGAATGACAAGAACACGGAAGGATGATTTGAGGCCCATGCCCCATACCCCAAACCCCAAACCCCAAACCCCAAACCCTAAACCCTAAACCCTAAACCCTAAACCCTAAAAAAGCAAGCCTCGGATCTCCAAATGCCCTGACGGCTCCAACCGCACACGTGAGGATATAAGATGCCCCTAAACCCTAAACCCTAAACCCTAAACCCCAAACCCTAAACCCTAAACCTTAAACCCCAAACCTTAAGTGAGGGTTTAGGGTTTAGGGCTCAGGACGATGATGAGAAGAAAGTACGCAACAGCTGCTTAAGCACCGCAAGGCAACAAGGGGTTTTTAGGGTTTAGGGTTCGGGGGGTTTGGGGAAGTTTGGGGAAGTTTGGGGAAGTTTGGGGAAGTTTGGGGAAGTTTGGGGAAGTTTGGGGAAGTTTGGGGAAGTTTGGGGACGGGGGAGGGGGGAAGGGTTTAGGATTTCAGTTTAGGGAGGGTTCGGAGGTTTTAGGGCCGAAACCGTAGGCCCTAAACTCTGAGGGAACTCTATCAGCACCGTCCTCCATGCGGCTGCCATGTAGAGCGCTCACAAGCGATGTCATGGAGCTGATGACCTTCAGGGGTTTAGGGGTTTAGGGGTTTAGGGTTTAGGGGTTTAGGGTTTAG